GGCAGTCTCTCAATAAAGGGCTGAAAGAAAAGGGTTTTTAAAGGGTGTTTCCAGTTTTGTTTGTTCTTTTGACAGTGGTGACTATACGTTGTTTCTGACACAAGGAAATTGCGCTCGAAACATCAGTACCCATAAAACATTTAGAAGGAAGTTAATCTATCAAAATTAAGTGTAAATAATTTAAAAACCCAACTCTGATATTTCAACTGTGTAAATATATTGAATCTGCAACACGCTGGTGAACATGTCATTTTCAAGCACAGCTTTGATTATAAAAAATGTAAATGAAGATATTTGAAGTGCGAGCCAGGGCAGGCGAGAGGAATATTTCACTCCTAAAGCTAACAATCACAAAACCAACTGGTAAAATAAATGGGAGGTGATTATCAGAAAAAGCAAGCATCTCCCAGATTTGCCAGCAATTTCATACCTGGTTTGATTAAATATTTGGATTTCTGAACACGTAACAGAGGAGGGGAAGTTCCTTCCCTTCAAAGTGAAATAAACCCAGATTCGAGTCCAAGTAGCCTGCTTTAGGCATCACATCAAATTTTTAAGGCTGAAAATAAAGGTAAGGGTAAGTCCAGCCACTGTATTATTTGGTTTTATTTTGTCCAATAGTTCTCAGAGTGCTGTGTGCAAGGCACAGATCTTACTTTGGCACTTGACCATCTGCAGCTGCTTCACTCTAGCCCCTAGTGAGTTAGTGTCCATGAAGTCCATCTTAATGAAGTAGAGGAAAGGGTCTTCAGGAATATAAAAGATTTACCCTGCTTAGCATGGAGCTGTGTGCGACGTGAAATAGAGAGCAAGTGGTGCATGTGCTGACACTTGAAAAGAGCTGTGGTTTAAGCAGCCCCGTCTAAGAGACTGTGAACTGTGTTTGGAGCTGGCTTGGAGCGCTGCAGAGCGCGGTCAGCTCCCCGCCTAGAATAAAAATGGTAAGGCCTTTTTACCTATTTATTTCTGCTTCCTTTGAGCTTTGGGTTTACTGGTATGCAAAGGAGAAAAAAAACCAAGCATATGTTTGGTTGCTCAATCAACCTTTTCTCAATCCACACTCGGTGATCTCAGCGAGTCATTACGGCATAATTACAATTTGAGTGTGATACGCTGTTTGTAGAAAAGTATCTATTTTTAGCTGAAGAAACACTACAGACCCTGAAAGGAGGAGAAAGAAGGGGGGAAAAAAAAAAAAGGGAAGAAAATCTGTAACCAGCAAATCAATGCTATTGTTAACTGATATTACGAGACACCCTGTAGATTTACAATGCTTGCATTCAGCCACATAAAACCCGCGCTGGAAAGAATGCCTAGCAGGGGTTAAATTCATATGCCTGCGCTGCAGCCTATTTCTGTCAACACTCAGCTCAGGAAATAAACATTTATGCTTTCTGAAATGAAAGTGTATTTTTGAAGTCTAGCCGTCAGATATTTTTTGCCCTTCACACTTTCAAATGCTTAGCCTTTTTTGTAAGTTGACTGCAAAGTGCATCAGTTTGCTAGGCACAGAAAAAAAGGGGAATAAAATCTTGACAAGTGCCCATGGCATCATTGTCAAGCACACGAGCGTCTAGTAGAAGATGGCAGGAGGGTTGGCACAAAACATGCTTCCTTCAAGCTTCTTACCTCAGGGGTACCTGACTCTTGAGAAGCCTTTCAATCCTTCCAAATGACATTACTGCAAACTGTCATCTGGTTTATTAGGAGTGCGCCGCATCGCAGATAAACATGCTATTTAACTGCAGGTCAAGGTACAGAGTCATCCTGCTAGCAAATGCCTGAGATACATTAAATGGCATTGACTTGGGGAGGGAGATGGAAGGAGATCAAAGGTGTCACCAATATGGTACATGCTAAAGGGGGAAAAAGGTGCACAACATTGTATTTTAAAATGCCATTTTGCAGTTCTGCATTTAAAACGATGACCTGCAAGGCTCTTAAGGACCCACACAATGCACAACAAAGTTCAAAACCCCACCATCACGCATCATTTCGGGGCGGTTTGGAATGAGCCTCCCAGATAAGACTGGGGAAGGCTAACACCCATCCAGAAAGCTGGAACTGTATTTCATCTGATTTTGGAGACTTCTTTAGACATAGTTGCATTTTAAAATAGCAGACCTCCACTTGACACAGAGCAAGGTTGATCTAAGGGATTCATATAACAAAAGCTCACAGAATCAGAGCCCAGTTTGGCATGAAATAAGTATAACCTTCCCCAAACAAAAATAAATCTCTGTATGTAAATACGTGTGCCTGTGTAAGCTATTCTTTTAACTGTGGGCTGCTGAACAGCTATTAGAAGGGCACTGGTGTGATACAAGAGGCATGCTGGATGCTTTTGCAAAAATCAAAACAAAACAGAAACAGATTAATTACAACTTGATGCACTTTTACATTCCCATGAGGGACGCCTTTAAAACTTAAACCATGCTTTCACTGAGTAGGCTTTCAAGGGAAAGTTACTTCGATCAGGAAGAAAATAATCATGTTTATTTGATTTATTGTTGGAGAGCAGAACAGCGTGGTTTATGTTTGCTGGTTTTTCTGCAATGTAAAAAACACCCTGATTTTCTTATGTGTCATATAAAAACAATTAATATATTTACTGCACCAGAATGCAGATTTTTCAAGAGTGCAGTGCAATGAATTACAGGCAACATCCCATTTTTTCCCTTCTCAGGGCATATGTAATTTCCGTTGACTGTGGCTCACAATTAAGTGCTATTGAAAAACAGCATTATTTATTAAAATAAAACCCAAAACAACAAACCTGTATTAAAATAGATAAGGTGGGAGTTTTCAGGGGAAAAATAAGAGTAGAGGGAAATTGCAGGTTAAACTTTTCTTTTTTAATCAAACCTGATTTTATTGCTTTTTGCTTAATTAAACTCCTCAGAAGTGTGTGAAACGTTGTTATACCTGAAAAATTGTTAATTTGTAAATCACAGGGACAAAAGGGCTCCACTGCAACTTTAAAGTTTCTATGCACGTAAATGTCAATAGAGTGCCTTCTCCATCATCAGCACTAAATTCACATTGATGCCTCTTTTCTTCTCTGTATTGATCCTTCCATGAGAACGTAGATTTGTATCTGTTAATTAATGCGTCCTGAAACAGCGTTTGTATTAATCAGGCAGATAAGAAAAATTGGATGCCTGCACCCTCATGACAACCGTAAAAGTGCTGGCCCTGATAAAATCGTGGATGGACCTCAATAAAAAAGTTCCTCCTTCCACTCAATAAACTAATCATCCTGCTTTTAATTATTCGGCAGAAAGATGTGTGGAGATTGGAGAATGTGTAAATCTATTTACTAACAGCAGTGTCTGGGAGGGAGAATGGGGCTGTCACAGGACGGTGCTGCAGGCTACATTCCCTGTCCATCTGCTGCTGCAGAAAAACTGGTTCTTGAAAGAGGGGAAGGAACAGAAATGTTGAAGCTAATTGAAATCATGAATTCCTCCCTATAACCTTTCAAATGATTATTTCTTCGCCATTTCCCTCTTATTTATTTTAATCGCAGATGTGTTATTTCCCATTGTCACCTCTTCAGTGGTGTTTCCTGTTGTTGGTGGCTCAGTTTTTGTTAGGGTTTGTGGGGGGTTTTTTTGAAGGCAGAGAGCTACAGTTCTATCACAAGACTCAAAAGATAGTAAGAGAAAATGAAAACAAATAAGGAGGGGGGAGAAAAATGAGAGAGCATGCAGCCAGTTTTATGTTTCATTTTTTATGGATGCCTGGTGGTTTGGATGTGGGGTTTTCTTTTTTATTGTATTAGTTTTGGTGCTTAGTGCTTGTAGAACAAATCTTGCTTGGAGTCGATGCCTTGCAGATTTGCTAGTTTATGATATATTCCTGCTTGACTGCAACTCTCAGCTTTCAAACGAGAAAAATAGATTTAAGTGTAATTGAATGCCAAAAAGAATGTTCTTACAGCAGGAACCCTGTCAAAGGACATATAAGCAGCTCCATAAACAACTAAATGAAAGCCTCAGACATGTCTTAAGACCCTTTAAGAAAAGCTTGACTAATCCCCTTTGATGATTTTATTAAGTACTTGTGGTTGATGGTGCCAACTGGCAAACTACCCCGTTTCACCAACAGGCCAGGAAAATCACTTCCTCTCCCATACTGTTTTGTAGCTCCTAATGTGATTGGGATATTAGCAGTTTGATGTAATAAATTAACAGGTTCTGTAAACAAGAGTCTGAAAAGGTAAGACAGTAAAGATGTTTGCCCTTAGTGATCCTATTAGGAAAGACAGCAGGAAGAAAAAAGAGAAAAAAGCAGGAGCTAAATTCATTAAGAGGCATTTATTCAATTTTTGGTTGCCCTCAGAAAAAGGATGGTGTGACTGCTGTTCAGTTGGCACTTTAATATACCACCCTGTTATTCCAACAAGTGTAGGAGACGCCGGAGCCACTACAGAAGTAGTTAGCCTCTTTTCTGAGAAGGGT